GCTTAACCCTCTTTAAGCTTTAGTTTCTCCATCTTAATGAAATGAGGATAATGATACTTGTGCTGAGTTGTGTGAGGAGTAAAGGATTCTGCATAGAACATGTTTGTTCACTGATGTCCCAAGAATGGAGCCCTTCTGATGTCTGTGTCTTATTCATCCAAGACTGTAATGCTTTCTGTGTCACAAGGCCATGTTTGCTGGAGTTGAGGCTATAAGCAGGCAGCTCTCTAGTCTGCTGGGAGAAGAAAACATGCTAAGTTATGTGTTTACTTACATAGTTTCATAAATTTAATAGAATTTCCTTCTATAATATTCTATCCGTTCTCTCTCAGACAGAATGATTATGACTAATGCAAAAGCTTTGTGCTTCTGTGAAGAACGGTGAGATCTAGGTAACAAGCATTATGAGCAGAAAACTTGCTAAGCTGCAGTCTACTTCCCTGTTAAGGTGTGAGGTAGTTGCACCAGTTACTAGCAGGGACTTGTGAGAGAAGGTTGGAGGGTGAGTGATAAAACTTCTTGATAGAGGAGTTAGGGAAGTGGCAGGACCATGTCTTAGAATTGGAGCCCTGAGATAAGAGTTCTGTCTTTCATTGCTTGAATTCATTTGTATCTCCTCCAAGTTTCCTCTTAATGTAAATGAAACCTTCAGAATTTGCCTATCAGTGGGCATAGTTAAATCATCAGGTATATTTTAACAAGCCATGAATGAGTTAGCTAGTATGTAGTTACAGAAGAAGATTTATGAAAATAGGAACATTGCCATCTTTTTTCTCTGGGGATTTAAAAGCTTCTCTTGAATGCTATTCCCTGGGCCTCTCTGTAGGCTAGGGACAAACTTCATTAGAGGCAGCCAGAAAGGCTGCCATAGTACCCTGCATTTTAAAACCATATGGCATGATTTTTCTTGGAACATGTGTTATAAATGTATTGTATAGTTGCAAGTGCAAGGTAGCAATTTGCACTGTTAGAAACACTGAAAGTTGAAAAAAAAATAGACCATTTTCTTTAGCTTGGACCTCTGCCAAAAATAGTTTTCTTCTTTTAAAAAAAATTCATTTTCCTAAAATTTAAAAACTAAACATGAGTACAAAGTCATGAAGGTGGTTCTTCTGAGTTAGACTTTTTTGAAATGATACCGATACAGTTTTTAATTCTAGATCTTGTTATCTTTCCTGTTGCAAGCATGGAATGGAAATTATTTAAGCTGTTTCTTTAAAAACAAAACATTTTGGTAGTGGGAATTTGACAAGTTGGTAGAAACAGCAGGAGTCCATCTCTTGCATTTTACATAAGCATTGTAGCAGGTCTGCCCCTTGTACCTCAGGCATGGGACTTAATGATAAAATTTAAAGTCTCTCATGTGTGGAGCAGCTTAGTGACCTGCTTTGTTGCCCTCCTAGGATTTCTCAGGATCTATTTAGAAATACATGTGAATAGTATTTCGGAACTTTCATTGTTAAATGTCTCATAAATGCATTAATGTTTACATGGTGCTGCATAAATAAAGCATGCCATGAACTTTTAATCCCTACCACCTGGCATTTTATAACCCTGGATGGGGCAGCTTGTCTTTATATAATAGTATAAAAGAAAGGCATGCATAAGTAGATGCCAGGTATGTGTGTTTAACGCCGACAACCATTTTCTGTTGTATTTTAGGATGGTTGATTCAAGGGAAGTTCAGGGGAACTTTATAAGTTCAGAGATCTCTCCACGCACAAGTTAGATGTTTCAGTTACATAGCATGCCAGGTTTGGAGTCAGGTGAAAAAGTATGGTTACATTGGTAGAGAGTGACAACATGGAGGTTAAAATGGGTAATATAATAGATGTATAGCCCCAGACTTCAGTGAATAATACCTTTTCTGTATCTTTTAAGTCCCTATCAAATTAATTCCATTTATAATTATGTGCAGTTTTTCTTTGAATCTTCTTTAGACTGTGAAGAGGAGGGCCATCCATGTGTTAACAGTTATAGGGATCCCAGGAGAGCCATGGGTAGGACCTCTTTCATGGGTTACCCAGATTGTGCAGACTTAAGCTTGTAGCCTTTCCTGGACTTAGAGGAAATCAATATGTTCGCTTTGGGTTAGTGTTCAGTAAATCACAGACAAATTTCTGTCCTTTAATAAACTCACATGCATACTAACATCCAGTAATTCAGTTTCAGCTTTCGTTATTTTTTCCCCTAGACAGTTTGGCTGACCATTTTGGTTCCTTCACACAAAGATGGCTTATCTCAGCAGATAAACTATTATTTGTTTCAAATTTAGAGGTTAGATTTCTTTAAAAAAAACAAAACAAAAACAAAAAACAAAACACAGAACCTATTACTCCAGCACTCTACCAGCCTCCTCTGAAATTTGCCTTGCCTTTCATAAATCAGAAATGGTTCTAATTGTCTAAGTTCAAGGTAGTTGAAATCTGAATTAGGGAGAAAAGGCATGGCCCCCTGGTGGGATGGATGAAGAAGACTCCACTGGGAGTCCCTTGTGCGTCAGGCAGAAAGGTCATGGTGGTCAGGGCCTTCCATACTCTGTGCTTTATCTATAACTTGACTGGGTGCCAGTCATCTGAACACATTTGGGTCCTGTCGCAGTCTCAGGAAGCTTATAAAAGTTAAGCACTTTCCCCAAGGAAGTACGGTGATGGGTAGAGGAGAAATGGTGGCCAAAGTTGCCTGCATTCATTCTCATTTTCTCTGTACTTTTTCTTGTTTCTTAGAAAGGGGGAAGCAGAAGTTGTAGAAGATTTTCTGGTTTAAATTTAAAATTGATTAGCTTGGAGACGTAGTATGCATTAATGAAGATTAAAACCTTTGCATGGTCTCACCTCTCTCACAGAAATAATTGATTCACTATCAGGTCCTGATTTATAATTCCTTAGTAGGGGAAACTCATGTTCTATATCAAGCAAATACTGAGTAAATTCACAAAGCTCAGCTATTGTGCCACTGTCAAACTGCTATGTCTTGAGAATACACACTCGCTATCTTGAGTTCAGTCATAGAGGGAAGCACATACTTTCTGGTTGCTTCTTATGGCTTTATGTTAACTTGTTTTAGAAAAAGATCACAAAATAAACATCTGGAGAGGATTTTCACAGACCCATGAATTTTCTTGATTTGTAGGGATCTTCATTGTTACCGTGTCCAGTACTCAGAAAACACTCCCTCCCCCATTTTCACTAGCAAAGTCCCAGCACAACCTACCTATTGTCCTAAAAACAAGGAAAACCAGAGCACCTTGTGTGATATTTTCTCCCATCATTTGGTTTATGTCAGTGAAAAATTTGCTTTGTGATTTGGAAATAAATCTACTACAAAATGACTAAGAGTTTGAGGGCTAATTGGGTATTTAGGAGTCCTCTGTATCCCTTACATGGAAGGTATCAGCTGATACCTTAATACCATATTCTCTTTAAGTTTTACTCTTCCTTTTTGAATTCAAGGAAGTCATAATTTGGCTTCATGATTGTGTTGTCAGCCATAGGCCTGGGAGCTGCTTGATAATATCATTGATTGAGGGGAACCAGGTCCAGCCACATTTTATTTCAGGGTAATGCTAGTACCGTACAGCATTCTTTGCACCTTGATTATTGTGCACAAATCCTATGAGGCAGCCACCATTATTACAGGTAGCCCAAGGCACACCAGTCTGAGACTTGTCAGATCATAGCAACTGAGTATTCTATTTGGCATGTGGTGCCATTTTCATGGGGTTTCTTTGTCCATATTGTGACTTGAGTTCCTGCATAACCTCTCCAGAATATATGGAGAGTTGTCCTCATGTTTGAAGTTCACTATGCTCTATCATGAGACCACAAGAGAGATAAGATCTTGGAAAACAGATTTTGCATTTGTTACAGAAGGACTATTTCTACTGAGTTCTTCAGTAGGTCATGGTCATGATACCTGAGTGGGCTCTTAGTTCCTATCATGAGAAATGACCAGCAGAGCATTACAAAAAGTGTATAGAGAGGAGCAAGTCTGATAACTAAACTAACACTGCCCGTCTGGGTGAACACAGAACAATATCAAGTTTGAAATACTGAGTGATATAAATGGGTTACACAGTTTTAAGTCCTAGATCACAAATCACATAGCTGTGATAAAAGAAAATAGATAAAAGAAGATAGAAAGTTATCTTGGAGGACTAGGCGCAGTGGCTCACATACCCATAATCAGGGTTTTGAAGCTAGTAGGGGTAAAAGTTATCAAGATCCCATGTCAACAAATAAGTCTAGCATGGTGTTGCATGCCTGCAGTCCCAGCTATGCAGGAGGCATAGGTAGGAGGATTACAATCCAAGCCAATCACCCCAGCACAAAAGACTGGAAGCTGGCTCAGGTGGTGGAACACTTGCCCAGCCAGGGCAAGGCCTTGAGTTCGTTCAAACCTCAGTACCCAGTACCACCAGAAAAGAAAGCAAAGATAAAGAAGGCTATCTTGCTGCTCTCCCAGTCTTCTTGTGTGCTTTCTTTATTCTGTATCATTCTTCAAAATACCTACATCGGGATGCAGAAAAATTTCAAAGAAGACTCAGTATAACTCTTGTGAGATCAAGTAATGATCTTTGAGAGTCCACCAGGGAAAAATTGTAGTTACACATTTTTGGTGTAAAAATAAACACCTAGAGTGTTTTGGGTCCTTTTTAAAAAAAATGTGGAATGCTAAGAACAAGAATTATGGTCAATGTGATGTATAAAAGAACCACATTATTTAAGTTGCTTGGAGAAAATGTTAGGCTAAATATGTGAAAGAAGAAGGAATTGATACTTTACCAAAATTAAATTTGTTCTACTAGTTACCTTCTTTTAAAAGTTTGGTTTATTTATATTACAGGCTGTGTTCTATTGAAGAGCACAAGAGTATTTCATCATCACTTTTGGTTAATAAGAGAAAAATAGACGAGAGATGATTTGTTGGGAACTTTAGCCATTCTGTTCTAATTGTGCAAAATGTTAGTACTGATGATCTTTTTGTCTGTTTTTTTTCAGGGTCGGCATGTTAAAACAGGTCAGCTGGCGGCCATCAAAGTTATGGATGTTACTGAGGTAAGGTTGGGTCACACATGTCTTAAAAAAAAAAAAATCAGTTACATAAAAGCACAAGGTACACACAGTGTCTAAACCCATGCTCCTCATCTGGGTCAGAGTAGAAAATGCTTTTCTGTGCAAGGTTGGTGTTCTGTTTGGACAATCTGATCACTTGAACAAGTTGCTCTAATGTGACATTGTGGGGTCATAGGTCCAGCAGCAGACCAGTTGCATGAAATGGTTACAGATGGTCCCCAAGTAACTAAGTCAGTAGCACTTTGCTTTAAAAAAAAAAAAAAAACCAAAAAAAGAAACAACAAAAAAACCCCACTACATTTGAGTGATGTCATCTTTGGCAACTAAATGGACTGTAATTGGAAACATCTTTAATGGAAAAGAAAAGGAGAAGGGATCATGGAAGTCACGTGAATAGGGAGATTGAGGAGTGTGGGATGAGGAAAAGCTTCTCTAGGGTATTAGGCCACATTTGTGTCATTTCTTTTATTTTTAACAGGGGGGAAGAAAACAGATCTACCCAAAGTTCCCAGAGGTTGGAAAACAGAAACATCTGCTAGAATGCTGAGCAGATTGTTGGCAAAATTTAGTAGCAAAAAATAGTTTTTGAAATAGATGCATGAAGATTTACTGTGCAGCTTTAGATGGGAAAGAGAACTTAGCCCAGACAAAAAGTCTGTGGGTGTGTGTCTTATGTGCCTGCACACCTGTGTGAATTTGTGAGTACAGATTTAAATTAAAAAATAGCCATAGATTATAAAGATTTGAATCCAGTCCTACTTGAAATTTTTTTTATCTGAAATTTTACTTCTTGCTCTCAAAATTGCTTCTGATGGGATTGAACATTGTATTTCACAGATTGCAAAAGGAGCTAACCAGCAACCCTATATATTTGGAGTATCTTTTTTTTTTTTTTTTCTTCAAGAAAGTTGTAATTTTAATGTAAATATATTCCATACAATATTTTATACATACTTATACTAAAATAAAATTCATTGTTTGTCTGAAATTTAAATGTGAATGAGTGCTCTCTCTATATTTTTAAAATTTCTTTCATTCATATTTGGAATATCTTTTAATCAAGCTAATTTCCTCAATCTGGGTCTCAGGTGTGCCATCCAGTAATCTGGCAAGATTCCCTCTGTCCTGCTCTCCGCTGGTCTCTCAGCACAGCCCCTCCTCTGTGCATATTTGTCAGTAAGAATTAGAAAACATTGTCTTTGGACCATAGGTCAACTGTTGAGACTTCTAAAAATATTTGAAGATGTGACATTTTATATGGTGACTGTTCTTTTTTCCCAAAGAGGATACTAGAGACTTTTAAAATGAAAAACTACTGTTGCTTGGTTGAATGACTCAAAGAGTCACATCATAAATTGCGATACAGTCTATTGTGTTGCATTATAGGATTCTGTCTTGGTACAAAACGCAATGGAAAATTAGTGCTTTTCACGTAAATGTTAAAGAGCAGAGAGGGAGCAGCAAATTCTAACTTACTGTTATGTAAATAAAGTAGTTATTTAGGGAGTACTTTCTATGTGACTAAAATGATCAGTGCCACTGCATTATGCTTTTGTTGGGTTGGGATATGTTGTCACTGTAGTTGACACTTTTTGCATATTTATTAACACACTTTTTTTTTTTTTAATTAGGGGTTTGAGCTCAGGGCCTTGTGGTTGCTAAGCAAGCACTCTACCATTTGAGCCATTCCCAGACCTTTTTGCTTTAGTTAGTTTTCAAGTAGTGTCTCCTTTTTTGCTCAGGATCAGCCTAGGACATTGATCCTACTATTTATGGCCTCTGACATAGCTGGGAGACTGGTGTGAACCACCACACGTAGCCTACTGGTTGAGGTGCTCACTTTTTGCCAGAACTGGCCTTGGACCATTTTCCTCCTCATTTCCGCCTCCTGAGTAGTTGGGATTACAGTCTTGCACCACCACACCTAGCTTATTAACACTTTTTGACTGCTTTACTGGCAAACCTGTGGGTGCCACTTTAAATCTAAACTTTGGAGTTTTATTATCAGAGAGTTTGTTTTTTTCTGCGTGACACAGCTGCTGTGGCCAGCTAACGTGTGTGCTCTTTCATGTCTCAAATGGACTCCAAATGGAATTGGCCTCTCTTAACCTAAACCTGGCCCTGACTATAAATGTGCAATACACTGGAAAAAGAAAGTATAAAACATAGGGAATATAAAGAAAAAATTAGGTCCTTATAATTTAACCATCTTATAATAGTCATTATTGATGCTCCAGTGTATTTTCTTTCAGCTGTGTCTCTATGAGCATGGCTCTAAAGTACACACATTTTTCTGTGTGATAGCTTCTGTATTTTTCCTCTTGTTCCTCACCCCTCCCCCGCCCCATCAAACCCAGGCCTTCTGCCTTCTAGGTTGCAAATACTCTACCACTGAGCTACATACCCAGTCCTGTATTTCACAAAAGATATTTCCTTCCCCCCCCTGCCCCAATAGGAAAATGTTGGACAAATGCATGATAGAAGTATCATCAGGACTTCTTTAAAAATAATGAAAACCCATGTATTCAGGTAAAATGAAAACCAGATAGTGAGGCTTTTAAACAACCCAGTCAACCATTTGATATATTGGCCTCTCAGTAATGTTTCTTTTGTGCTGTTTTCATGCAGTGACCTCTGCTGTAGTGTGGGTCTCAGTAAGGACCCAGAAAAAGTATTGATTATGGTTAGAGGACCATGTGCAGCTGGCAGCCTAGACAACCTACTCTTGTCTACCCGGTACCTGAAAGGCCTTTGAACTCTAATGCAGTTGTAGGGTTTGACCTGGTAGGGACCTGGGGCAGGAAGGAGCAGGCTGAGAGATTTGGAAGCTGATGCTTCTGGTTTCAATTCTAGCAGGGGGGGCTGTTGGAGAGGGTTCTCTTGATGAGAGCAGGATCCTGTATGGTTTCAGACTTCCACTGAATTTCATCTCAGTAACAAAAAGGTATAAATTCTTACTTGTCCTGACTCCTTAGGTGAAACTGAGAGGCAGTTTGCAGGCTACTGTTTTCCCTCAGGCTCAGAAGGCAAGAAGCAGTGTGGGAAGTTGAATGATATGTCTGTCTTCTCCCTTTAGCTGTTTTCTGTTGGCAATCTGAATGAATTGAGCCCTGGAACTAGCTGCAATAAATGCAGAAGTGTGGGCCCACTTTAATTTGCTTCACTTGATTATGAGAAGAACCTGGAAACAGAACTAGCTGAAGATTCAGCTTCTGCTTTGGGGTGATGTGACATGGGACTAAGAATTGACTATTCTCAGAGTTTTGAAGGGCTTGTTTTTGAAGGAAAGCAGAGCAGGTCTTGTCTTATTGGTTTTGTGAGAGGTTTAGGAGCATGCTAAGGATGTGTTCAGACTGGATGATGGCAGCAGGTCTATAATTTTTTTGTTATATTTAAAAATAATTGTAGATTCACAGGAATTTGTAAAATATGTGTGGGAACCACTGTTTTCCCCAGTGCTAGCATCTTGTATAACTATAGTATAGTATAGTCAAAACTGAAGCACATGCAGAAGACAAGCAAGGCAGGTGATTTCTTTATAAGCTAAGGAGTTCGTCTGTACTTCAGTGTTGAATTCTAGCTGATTAGGCTGCATTTTGGAGACTGAGATCAGGAGGGTCACGGCTTAAGGCAAGCCTGGGCAAAAAGTTGACAAAACACTACCACCTCAACCAGTAGCTACACAAAATGTAAAATAGGGGGATTGTGGTCCAGGCCAGCCTGGGCAAAAAGTGAGATCCTATCTCAAAAATAACCACAGAAAAAAAGGATTGGAGGTGTGGCTCAAATGGTAGCGTTCCTGCCTCGAAATCATGAGGCCCTGAGTTCAAACCCCAGTATAGCCCCAAAATCAAAAACACTGTACCATTCACTTAGATTCAATAATGGTTAAAATTTTGTGATGCTGTTGGTGTAAATAAATCCTTGTGCCACCCTGTCACTTAACCTGTAAATACTTGTGCTTGCTTCTCTTAAAATGCAGTCTTTAGCAATTATAGTTACACACTAATAATTTCAGAATTTCACCTAATGCTTATTCTACATTCAGATATTCTCGATTGTGCTAAAAATGGTTTTGTAACTGAGTGTTTGAATCATAGTCTGATTAGGTTTGTACATTGCACTTGTCTATCTTATTTCTTAATCCATTTTTAAGCTAATAGAGTTTCTCTGTACCACCTACTACCCTTTTTAAAGAAATTAAATTTTTGGAAGAGTCCAACTAATTGCTCTGTAAAGTTCTCTACATCCTAGTTTTATCTGAGTTTTCTCATGTTATACTTTGCTTCTCTTTCTCCTATATTTACTATAAATTGGAAGTTATGTTGAGAGGTTTGATTAACACAGATGGCATATCATTCGGCAAATGCTCCTCAAGGGTTGATGGTAGGTGTTTTATATTACATCACACTATTAGTTCAGCCAAATCTTCTCTCATAAAGATGCATCGCTTATTTCTCACTTCACAAATAGATCTCCAGGTTAACACTCTGTTCATCAATACCTTTTTTTTGCTTGTTTGTTTTTTGAGACCTTGAGTTGTTATGGAGCCAAGGCTGGCCTTGAGCTCACCATACTCCTGCTTCACTCTTCCAAGTGCTGAGATTACAGGTGTGCCATACCTGGCACCAGCCTTTTAACTAATGTTTTTAGCATTCATATGATGATCCTTGCCTGGGTAAGTTGTCACTGCAAAATGATGATTTTTCTGCCTTTCCTTCTGTTTATTAGTCATCCTAAGTCTAGACAAAGAGTTTTCTTTGTACCTGTTTCTACCCTTTCTCTGCCTTCCCCCTTTCTTTAGACATTGCCATAGATATGGGCAGTTGTATTTATTCAGTGTTTCCTTCAGTTATAATTGTTGTAGCTATTATGTAATCAGATTGACAAAATTTATCAATGAGAACCTTTGACATGGCCATTAGGAGAGTCTAATGGAGTCTGTAACCTTTTAACTTGATCTCATTAATTTCTGAGTACAA